TGGTTCATGGGGTCACGAAGAGTCGGACACGACTTAACGACTAAACAACAAGCAAGATTACTACTACATCTTGCTCAATTGTGTAAAGAAACGTGTTCTACACAATGAAGACCAGCAGAAGTTACTTTGAAAGTACTATTTTTAGGCTTATGTTTCAAGTGCTCCTATATGTTTTGGCTGGTGCACTTAAGTTTCTTGTAGGATAACCCCAGCGCGTTGTTGGTCACTGTGCTGAGTACCAGGAAACTTTCCTCACCCTGTTGTATGGTTGTCACACTGCAATATCACTTTTTAAAATAAGTTCACTGGTGGATTGCTGAAATCCATACCCTCATCCACAATGAATTGGTTCAGTGATCATTTATATGTATGTATGTATGTATTTCTAATGTGATTTTAAAAAATAATTTTTAAAAAATACCACAATGGAAGATTCCTCTATGACATATCAAAAGAAGCTACAGCCTCCTGGACTATTGCCTGTTTTAACATTGCATGCAGGGAAAGTAATGAAATTAATAAAAGGTTTTCTTAGGCATGCATTCCCAGTCACAGGGAGAGCAAGAAGGAGGAGGGACAGGCGTGTAAACTGTAGCAGGGAAATCATTCCATAGTAGCCTGCAGTCTGAACTGAATCCTCTTCAAGTTGTTGCCAAACTGACGCACTCCAGATAGATTTTTTTTTTTAAGCTGACTTAGCTTAAGCTGCTATGAGCACAGGACTGAACTGATTATGTGTTCCAAAATAAAAGCAAGTTTACTACTGTTTAAAATATTTTTATATGCCACAAATTCACTGACACAGCAGCCATCATCTTCTTTCATTTTTCTATTGTTTGAGATCTTGAGTATTCTGAGGATCAAACGTAATGGTTTGGATTGCTGATAATACTAAGTTGTCTTCTTCCGCATACGTCTTGTTCCACAAATATATACCCGAAGCTATGTAGTGAAGCTCCATGTGCCCCTTAAATCGTTTTTTGCTACCTCAGAATACCATCTGGTTGCACCACCATTTGGTACCAACAGCAGCATAATTTTTCTGCTATTTTAATAAAATAATATGAACATTTTAAGCATTTAAAATGATAACTTCTTGTACCTCCTCTACCCTCACCGAAAATGATCAGGTAAAAGAGCAGAAAAATGCAAGTCTCATCCACTTGCATTGTGTGGCCTTGCCCACTGCAACCCTCACCGCTGGAGAAAAAAAATGTAGCCAGTGTTTCTCAACCTCGGCAACTTTAAGTTGTGTGGACTTCAACTCCCAGAATTCTGGGAGTTGAAGTCCACACTGTGAGATTTGCCCCGTTCGACAGAGAAACTCTCGTGACAC